AAGTAAATAGCAATTTACAGGTAAAGGAATTATTTACCACGTAAATAGTTCATTTACGACTAATAAAAACATTTTCTTTTTTACGTAAATTTTCCTTTTACGACTAGTAAAAATAAATTTCGACATAAAAGATTTTTTAAGACTTTTTATCACTTACGTTATTTTTACCGCGTAAATCTATTATTTACTACATTCTCCTTATTATTATTAGTAATATTTATTTTTTGGTGCTTAAAATTTCGTTAAACAAAATAAGTTAACCTTTTCAGAGGGTCGTCGAGCTTTTTTTCCTATGGTAGTAAGACTAGTAGAATTTGTGAAAGGGACAAAGTGCAATCGTTATTCTTTTTTTTTTTTTTTTAAAGAGAATTAAGTATATATTAAGTGGAATCAGTTGGATGGGGACTTAAATCTAGTGATGCAAGCTCATTATGGATCCTAGAACATTTTCAATGCAACATGAAATTAATGTGCTAATACTAAATGTTTTTATTTGAGTAGGAAACTTAATAAATCGAGTGTTATTTATGTTGGTGCTAAGTTTTGTATATGTTTTTTTTTTTAAATCTGACACTAAATATAGCATACACCAATATTTTATTTTTTTATGTAAAATACAACAATGACATTGAAATTTGTATTGAAGATGCTTTAGTCAAGAGCGAAGTCATGAGATAACTATTTTTGCTACTTTCTATGGAAATAAACATCTTCAAGAAACAAAAAAAGAGAATAATTTACTTATGATCTCTTAATTTGGGTGTTTGGTACGAAGATTCGTGTTATAATTCGAATCATAATTCGTGACTCGCTACAGTGTTTTCTCTAAAAAAAAAACACACGTGAACTGGGAATGGTTCTGAATGAGTTTGGTAGGGTCGGATTTGGGTAGGCCACGTTGTATTAAAAAAAAGAAAAAAAAAAGAAAAAAAAGAAGAATAGCTTACTAATTTTTTTATTTAACGAGAAATGCTTCCACTGTGAACAAATTGCAGAGACATTCCTTAAAGCATTTATAATCACCGCACATCCGTTTCAATCATCTGTAATGGGCGACAAACATATCTAGTCCACTTCGAGCCTAAATTAGGGCCGAACATTCAGCATTTTTACCCCATGTTTGCTTTAGAAATAAAATGGTGATACCTACTTCTTGCATATTATATATCAATTCTTTAGTTAAATCAATAAAGGAAAAAAAAAATCTAGGGTAAACGTACATCAACACTCCGTCTAATAAAAAAGAAAGTAAAAAAAATGGAGAAAAAAATATTAAGAATAAAGCTAGTAACACCAACTCAAATCTCAACTTTTGTGTATCAACTAATGTGGTACGTGAGTTGTCATTTTTACATTAATAGGTCTTTAAAATATTACCACGTCAATTAATGATAAGAAATCTACCTAGAAAAAGATGACAACTCACGTGCTACATTATTTGGTATATAAAAATTAGGATTTGAGTTTGTGTCTCTAGCATTACTCAAATATTAATCATAAAAGGGATTTCTTTTTATTTTATCGTCTTTGGTATGATAAAATTAATTTGAATTTCGTGAAAGTTGTAAACAATATTTCACTTTAAAAACCTCTTCACTTTTAGGTACGGCGGGACTTATGAATTATTTCATCAATCATTTTTTTGGATTTGGCTCACAAGTCACTTTATTTATAGAAAAAATATAAAAAGTACCTATCTAGTTTTAGCTAAATCTCACATTTGTTTGTGTGTTTTGATAATCTAAAAAATATCCCCTACATTTTCAGATTATCTTAAAATTATCCCTTATGTCTTTCAAAAATGTTAAAAAAACCTTTAAATGATTAAAGTTATTAAAATACCAAAAAAAAAAGCTTAACAATTACTATTTAATTACTATTTTAGGCACTAATTATGTAAAATTTTTAAAATATAAATTTTAAAACTAAATAAATCAAGGGAAAAAAAAAAAAAGTGCCAATGTGTTTAGATGGTGAGGATAGGATCCAGTGTAGGATGGTGAGGGGGCGAGATCCTCAATGGGATTGGCCCAGTCTGACCGATTGAGTTTTAGATTTTTTTTTTTTTAAATAGAATTTATTTTATTGAAGGCTTTGCATTTTTTTTAAAATTTAATTTCTTAGCTATTAATATTTAATATAATGTTTAAATGTTAATCATTAAGGGTATTTGTGAAACACATAATATAATTTTACCATTGATCAAAGGGTTTTTTTTTTTTTTTGAAAAATTCAGGGATAATTTTGAGTTTAAAACCATAACGAATACATTTTAGATTATCAAAATACTAGGTAAACATAGGATTTAACTAAACTGATCAGGGAGTATTATATTATATTAAATTTGCTACCAAATATATGTATTTAATTGATGTTAGTTGATATGTTTATTTTTCCATTTAATTATTATATTTTAATTTTTAGTTATTTTGAAATTAAAATGTTATTTTTATAACTTTTAAAGCTTAATGATTATGAAAAAAAACATTTGAAATAGGATTAAAAAATAGAATATGAATGAAAATAACATATTAAATATATCATTATTACACTTTTTAATGTGAAATATATAATTGACGTTAATATTTATATTAGAGATGGTGAAGAGTTACAAATTTTTTTCTGCAGATCTTAGATAAGCTTAACTTTCTGAAATATAAAAAGGTTTTAATTTTTTTTAAGGAAAAACGGTAATATCTTTCGTTTCTAAAAAAAAAAAGAGAGTTTTTGTATGCTGCTATGACTATAATACAAATTCCTTATTTTGTACAAGGTCAAATTATTCCAATTAAGAACTGTAAGCCCTTCATTTCACCGATTTGAGTTTATAATTCGAGTTTTATTACAGTAAAAAGCTATAAGAAACAGTCGCATCTTTTTTTTTTGCTACAGTAAAAACCTCTCACATAAAGTCACATCTCAACTCGAATCAGTAAACTAAACGGGTCATTAATTGGTCAGAATAAATTAGGCAGATTCTATCCCAAAACCATAAAGCCTAATGGGCGGTGGAATAAAGAGTATTGGTTACTGGACTATATATTTAGTCAACAAAGAAGTCTGAATATTGGAAATTATTTAGTGGTCCATAAGGAGGTTCTCTCTGTAGTATTCTTTTTTATTTGTTTATTTATTTTCACTAAGAAATGCACAACTAACGTCAAGAAAAATTAGAAAAAAAATTTATTTTAATTAGGTTAGCACCCAATAGCAAATAACCCCTACCATATCAAGTATCTTACACAATTTATTAAAAGAAAAATAGAAAAATACAGAAGTTCTAATCACATGGTAGAAAAATCATACAATCCCATAAGGATGACACTCCCCAATAAGAAAAATACTTCACTACTAGTAGAAACTAATCCCAGAAGGCTAAGCAGAATCTACACGTTGAAAAAATCAACTACAATAATAGAACTCATTAAAAACCTTACTAAAATCGAAAAGGAAAGATCTATGAAGGGAAAAAGATGGCCTATAGCTAGCTCTTCCTGGAGCTTTTCACGAGTAGCATCATCTGAATTAACTGTAATTCAACTGCTTTGAACTAAATTTAGTTATAGAATGCCACTAAAATATCCCTAAACTTAGCTAGAAAATTACACTAAACTATATATACATTATTGAAATCTTATATATAAGTGGAGAAAATTAGTGAAATTAAGATAGTTGTATGATAAGACAATAGTATAAAAAATTTACGAATGCTACATCATAGATTTGTTTAATATAATATGACAAGTTAGTCATTTCAACCACCAAGACTTTTTGAAAACTATCTTTATACAAAAATACAATAGTTAAGCCCGTAAAAAATTCATCCATATAATATCTCATGACTCTTTTAGTTTAGTTTGTAGATAGACTTCATATCACCATATTTCAAAAAGAGTTTCAAATGATCTTTATATCATTCTGACAGAATTATACTTATCACACCACACGCATGCTATTGGAATGATACTTTCTACTTTGGACCTAAGTCAATAAACATCATATCATGCAATACAATATAAATACGATGCAAAGGCCCATCCGATATTGAATAAAAGTACTTGATACAATATGCAACAATACAATACAATATAGAACAATAAAATACAACATGGTGCCCTAAATACGCCCTAATTTTGTATAGATCACAAGTGGAATGAAAATATAGAACAATAAAATACAACACGGTGCCCTAAATACACCCTAATTTTGTATAGATCACAAGTGGAATGAAAATAATTTCTTCTTCATTTAAATTATGGTAGAATTAAGCAATGGAAAAGGCAAAACACCCTAGTGGTTGTGTCTCTTATTTTTCTTGTTTTGTTGTTCTTGGCTTCATGCTTTTTACGAGTTGGTAGCCGTTTAATTTTTAGAAATTTTTTTTACTTCTACTTTTTATTAATAAAAACCGAATAGATGTGTTTTCTCTCTCTTATGCTAGTTAGTTTTTTCTCTGCCATTTACTTTTATGGGGAAAAAAAAAAAGAAAAGAAAGGAGGCAATTATATTGTGTGTCTCTTATAAATAGACGAAGGGGTAAAAAAAAAAAAGTAAAAGAAAAAGAAAATGTATACTTCATGGATCTGAAATGACTTTATAAATAATGTACTATAATTTAGACGCAGATGCCAAAAGGAGCATTCCTCTTTTATAATTTAGAGCGACAGGAGTAGGGTTTCTGAATTTCCTGCCATTTTCATAATATTACTTTCGGTAGCTATAATTTATTTTATCTTTTTCAAGACACTGTTTAAGTTTTGGCAAACATACCCTGTTTACGTCCAAATTAAAGAGCAACTTCCTTCTCATACATAAATAAGGATACCAACTTCCACTTCGCACTATGTTTTCGCCACATCTCTCTCTCTCTCTCTCTCTCTCTCTCTCTCTCTCTCTCTCTCTCTCTCTCTCTCTCTCTCTCTCTCTCTCTCTCTCTCTCTCTCTCTCTCTCTCTCTCTCTCTCTCTCTCTCTCTCTCTCTCTCTCTCTCTCTCTCTCTCTCTCTCTCTCTCTCTCTCCTTAAAAATTAAGAGACAAAAATGGGAGCTCTTGATTATCTCCCTAACTTTTGCACTGTTATCAGCACAAGGAGGAAGCGTAAGCCAATGCAGGTATGTGTTACACCACAGCCTTCTTGTATGCCTCTAATTGCTGATCATTATTTATAAGCCTTATTTTCTCTTTAAATAATCAATAATATAGAAGTCTATGATCATTTTCTATTACTTTGCTATTCGTACTTATAATATATTTTCTTCTGTTTGTTGATTTATTTATTTCAATTTTTCAGACAGTTGAAATCAAAGTCAAAATGGACTGTGATGGCTGCGAAAGAAAAATCAAGAACGCTGTAAAGTCCATGAGAGGTACTTTTCTTAGTGAGCCTCTCTTTGTTTCCTTTTCCTTTCTTCAAATGATTATTTTGTTTATGTTTGAAATAGCAAGAGATACTAAAGAATAAACCATATATAAACTAAAAGAAAAGTAATTTTTCCAGCCAAAAAAAAAAGAAAAAAAAAACTAAGAAAAGTAGTTTATAGCATTTTAAGGGAGAGAGGAAAAAAGCATCTCTAGCATAGAAAGTGTTCTAAACGAACATATTAAAGTCTTTATGATGTTAAAATGCTAAAAAAAAGTCCAATCCATTATAAAAAATAAAAATAAGTCTTTATGGCTATATATGGGGAAATGCTAAATCCAAGAAGGTCTATATACCAAAAAGTATATATTATAACATCATGTTAAGATTAAAAACGAAGTTACAAACATGCGCATAGGATACTCATGATTTCTGTTTTCTAGTACGTTCTTTTTTTCTTCTTCTTCTTCTTCTTCTTTTTACTTTCTCTCTTGGTTTTTTTTTTTTTTTTTCTCCCTGAAATGTCAGAGGACAAGAAAGCATTTTAAGTCAAACACAAGGTGAATCTTTCCACTGCAGAAAGTTTCATTTTAAAAATAAATATACGTACTATATATGCGTTTATATAAATAAATTCAACATAGGAGAAAATTTTTTTTCCGCAGTCAAATCTTTTTGCTTCTAAAGCCTGATTATATTAATTAGAAAACGGAATAATATTTTTCTATTATTAATTAGAAACTAAAATCATTTTGACATTTTCTCTTTGAACCATGTATTTTAGGAGTAAAATCCGTGGAGGTGAACCGAAAACAAAGCAAGGTGACGGTTAGTGGGTTTGTGGAGGCAAACAAGGTGTTAAAGAGGGTAAACAGAACAGGCAAGAAAGCTGAATTTTGGCCATACATTCCTCAGCATTTGGTGCATTACCCTTTCGTCTCCGGCGCCTACGACAAGAGGGCGCCGGCGGGCCACGTGCGAAACGTCGTTCACGCTTTTCCGGCAGCCAATGTAGCTGAGGAGAATATGGCCTCCCTCTTCAGTGATGATAATGTGAATGCTTGTTCCATAATGTGAAGATTTTTCCACATCTACGTACTTAATTATATATTGTATGTACGGAAGTTGTTCTACTAGAGTAGAACTCTCCAAGGCCTACATTTGACCCCCCCAATAACATTATTGTAATTTAAAATCTTTAAATGAGTTACATTACGTTGTTACGGCCCTGAGATATCTTAGACGTTTTTGTGCTATATATAAAGATTTTACTACTATACACAATTACTATAATTTGTGTACTCAAGAGATCGAGAGAAAAGGTATTTACAGTTTTATTTTTACGACGCGCCACCAATTTTTTTTCTATTTAATACGGACACCATATATAAAGAGTTCTATTATTATTATTGCTGTTATTGTTATTGTTATTATTATGATTATGGACCAGAGTTCTAATTTTCTAATTAATATTTATGGTTTTGGCACCTAATCTAGTTAAAAACTATTGTATTATTCGAAGTTGATAATTATAGTTAAATTGTTTAAAATAAACTTTAGTAGGGTTTTATATATAAGAAATCTTGACAAATACTCTTTAATAGTGCTTGGGTCTTGATTTTTACCCTTTACTCTTGATTAACACATTTTTTTAGTTAAATAACTATATTAACAAAAAGATATTAATAATGAGTAAAAATTCAGATCATGCACTTTTTAAGAGAGAGTTTAATAATTTTCTTATGATAAAAAAAGTAGAAGAAAAGAAACCAATATCACAAGCAGTTGGGCCAGGTACCACATAAGTTGACTAAAAGAGAGTACTAATTTTGCAAATTTTGCCCTCTGAATTTACTGTAACTTGTCGTCTAAACTTCTAATTTTCGGTAACTTGCTCCCTAACTTATAAAGCTGGTGCATGTACCTTAAATTGATGATGATAAATTGTGTTAAGTGATTGAGAGATTCACGTCAAACAGTCATTCAAATAAAACACATTGCAACAGCTTTATAAATTGGGAAAAAAATTCTCAAAATTAGAAGTTTAGAGAGCAGTAAATTGTCAAAACCCTACAAATTCAAAGCGCAAATGTGCAAATCAAATGCCCCATGAAAACAAGATTTTGTCATTCGTTACTGCCATTCACAAATCAAAACCCTACAGAAATTATATGAATAATATCTTTGATTGGCGGGTGAAAAAGTATAAAACGGGGGACAAGATCTTTAGGGATTTGAGAGGAGGAATAAGTTCCTTGTACCCCACCACAAATGAACGGAATAAATTAGATAAAGAAGGTTAGTTACTGCCAGGCTTACTTTAATTTAGCCCTTGAATTATGATCCCATATATATATATATATATCAGAATTTTGGAGTCTCAACTTATGTTAAAAATTGCTCCTCAAGCTCAAAAGAAGTCATTAACAAGCCAACAAGATTAACCATGTAAACTGCATATTACATGTCAATGAAGGGTATTTTAGACTAATTATAAAACCTTTCAGATGAATTTAAATAAAATTAACCCTCACATATATTTCTTTACCTAATTAACGAGCTCTCATGTATAAATATTTTTATATATTTTATTTTTTTCTTATTTGAAATTTATTTAGCATGATTCACTTAAAACACCTTTTATTAAGTACGAGCATATGTGTTACATGATTAGTTACGTAGCTAGTTGTTAGATATTTTTTATTATTATTATTATTTTGACTGAAGAGCCATACGTAATACAAGAAGTATGATCTTTAGGGTGCAATTTATAGCATTATGAAGTTTGGGGATTAAAATAGGACAAAGAATATGATTTCTGATTTGATTTTGTTTGAATTCCCTTAATGAAACTTTCTCCATTTTCCCCTAAGAAAAAGAACTTAATTCGTGATGCAAGTGAATAATTAACCCCATTTCTTGTGATTAGAGTTCTTTAGTTACAACTTTTAAGAGGACGCATATTTGATGTAGACAAAAATGTAAAATGAAGTTTAAGGTTTTTTTAAAAAATTTAACATTTAAAAGTAGTAAGTGGTGATGAAAAAACTTGACTAAAAGTCCTATTAATATTGTGATCGACTAGAAAAGGCTATGGCTAAACGCAAGTCTAATTAATATTCGGGGTGTTTTTCTTTTTTTGACTCTAAGAATTAGTACTATAATCTTTGATTAACAATCTTCTCTCTTTCTTTCTTTCCTTTTTCCTTTTTTTAAAAGGCTTGTAAAGTAGTGTAAGGAAAACAAAAAAGAAAAAAGAAAAAAGTGAAGAAGAGAATATATATAAGAAAAAAAAAAAAAAAATATATATATATATACATATATATTATATCATGTTTATTTAATGGTCAATAATTGGCCGGTCTTTGCCGCTTGTCGCCGCTACTTATATTAACAATATAAGATAATGATAATGGAAGCATCAAACTAGAAATTACTTACTTTATGCCTGAAAGGAGAATGATTTATTTATTAACTTTTTAGAGTAACGTAAAGTTTGAGGATGACAAAGGAAGCTTCTGTTAGGAGTAGTGCTGATATCTTTTTTTGGTCTTAATTTCCAACTCTGAAGTTTAAAGCTAATTTTTCCAGTTAGCTTTGTAGTGAAACGTACTAATAAAACTTGAATCGTATTAAACCAAAAAGTGCATTATCATATCTATCAAAGATATTAAATCTTGGGATTCAAAAAAAAAAAAAAAAAAAAAAAGAGCAGAAGTTTGACATTTTTGTCATCAATTTTGCAGGAGGATTTTTTTTTTTTTTTGGAGCAAGCTAAAATATTTGATGCTTACGACTTACAACTATGATTTCTAGAAAAGATATATTGGTCCAAGAAATATTGAGAGAGGTAGAGGTGGTGGGGTTTTACTTTTAGCACCCTAATTCAAAAAATGTCTTGCACCTTTTAGTTTTTAAAATGTCTTGCACCTTTTAGTTTTTAATATTTTTTTGATTCCCTTTTTTCCCATCATCTATGTTTATCACCTCACTCCCGCAAATGATGAGAGGAATCTTCTCTTTTATCATAGAGTTTTGCTACGTGAGATGCGTAGAAGCCAGTGAAAAATAATAGAAATATTAACATCACTATTTCTGTCACTCTCTTTGTCACTCTTAGCATTTATTATTTAATACGTGGACTCTATGACATATTATTATTTAAATAAAAAATGAGATAATTGAAGTGCACGTACTAAACAGTGAATACAGAGAATGATAAAAAAAGTATCAAAAAAAGTGACGCTAACATTTCTTACGTAATACTGATGAGATTGTTGTCCACTTAACAATGTCGAATTCTAATATATTCTCACGAAACGTGTCTTTTCCTTTTTGAACTCTCACTGTCTCACATTGTTTTCTTTATAATTCTTGATCAATTGCCTAGCCCTGTGTCTTTGTAACACCCAATTCTAGGTCCGGTTTAATCACCCCATCATAGAGGAGATCTCCAGTGTGGGGGCTCCAACAAGGGTGATGAGAAGAGTGGGCGACTTCTCGGTGGCAGCAATGGTAGAGGCAAGGCGGCGGTGGGGAAGATGGGGGAAGAAGATAGAAAATATATTGGTAGTTAGTCATTGATTTACTAAAGGTTAACCGATGTGTTACCTCCTACTCAATTGTGTTTTAACTTTTTTTATAAAGGGACATTTAATTTAACGAAAATAATTTAACTGAAAATATAATTTTAAAAGGATTAGTTTACACTAATATCCCTAGATCGAAGTACGTTCATATAAGGATCATTAATTGTAATAACTTGACAATTTCAATTATTTGTCACATTGTCGGTAGTTTTGCCATGGCCCTTTAGTAATTACCATTTTCTTAAAAAATAAATAAAAAATCATAATATTGTTCTTGGATTAATGCTATATAATATCCGATTCAATAAATTCTTTGGCCACAAATCAAATACTTGGATACTACTATCTTAGATCACAAGTATTCATCAAGGATACTGACGGTAAGCAATTTTCAATTTTGTACCGTGTGGTTGGTATACTTTTATTTTAAATTCTAATTTGCCCACTTCCCGCTTCAAATTTGTACCTGTACTAGGTTTATGAGTGAGCATACAGCAAAGTATCTTGACTATGCTCTGTCGCATGCATTTGGCACCTGGTTGAAATTTATTAAATTGCTCTAATTAATTTTTTTTTTATTTTTTATGAATTCATAAATTAAAGAACATCTTTTTAATTTTAAATTTCTAATTATATAATACGTTAGTGCTACTATAAGTTCTATAATACTAGGATACTAACTTTATATATATATATATATATTGACGAGTGTTTAATGGTTATGTATCCTGTTTGTTAGCATGGATTTATACTCCATAATTTTTTAAAACAAACTATAATACAAATTTAACAATGATATTGTCTAACCCCCCTCTAACTCCATCCACATGTTCACAAGTATAGTAAACAATTAAACCGAGCAATTCAAATCTACCCATGATTAGGCCACGCATGTAGCGAAAAACATAGAAACCGCATTCGATTACGTTTCTCGTTTGTCACAACACTCTCTGAAAATGTGAACATCATGTTTAGATTATTATTCCACGTTGATTTAGATAGCTATGTGTTCAAACGTCCTACAAATGTACCTTGAACCTTTGAAATTAATAGGTACCGCCGCCAGCATAACAAAAACCATCAGTTCACCTAGAGAAGTCTAAAGAACACCACTAGATTTATAACCACTTGTGCTAAAACATAATTGGGTGACGTTTAATTCATGAATTCAAAATCATAATTCATGATTCTGATTTTTGAAATTCAAATTTTTTAGAAAAAACACTGTAGCAGAACTAAGAACCATGATCTTATACCAGGTAAAACCCTTGAAACAAACGTCACCTTAGCTAAGAAAGGTACTTTAGCTTAAATTGCGGGGCTTGCGCAATTCGGGCCTCACGAAATCTGCATCTTGGGGTACTGAAATGTCAACGGTGGGTCTCAGTTGAGCACATACTTCGATTGCACCATGAACTGGATCCAACAAGAAGTTTCCGATGAGGTCCTGCTTCGTGGGTACGTTGTTGTCCACTGTGACAAAGGCCTGTTGAGTAAGGATGTAATCAAAGCGTGGAGCCCATTTTCTCGATCCCAAACGAGCTGTTGTTGAACAATTATCAACCATGAAAGATACTCCACGAGCATGCATGAAGGGATTCAGTGAATCCACCGACTCGATCACACTTTCGTTGATGATCTCCGAGTATGAGTGCCCTTTCTTCCTCAAGATCGCAATCTGCAATATCACGCCACCATGAAGACAACGATTAGACACAAAATTAGATCATCACACTACCTCACTTGAATTAAGCCATAAGAATTTTGTATAATAAGGACTCAAAAGGGTGCGGTTTAATGTCAAAGATACCATAAGTTACAATTATTAATTAGACAGGAACCGATCATTTAATTGTAAAGCATCATCACTCAGTACTTGTTAGAATACAAGTTCCATTCAAGACAATATTGACACCAAATTACCAAACCATCTGAAACGGAAATCAATACCTGGGCCATCATTGCGGCAACATAAACACCAGCTGTGAAAGGGTACAACGGTCCTAGGTCACCTGCAGGCCGGGTTGATCGTACTCTCTCACCAACCTTCCACATTCTTGTTTGATCAATTTTACCCATGGGGAAAGATGGTAGACCCTCCTTTTCCTAGAATATAATAAAGGTGTTTTTCAGATTAAGTTAGATGATAAAATAAATATACGACCACATTTATCCAACCTGTCCAAAATTTAGGAGTACAATCAAAAGTTTAGCACACATTTAGTGGCATTTGATCATGAGAGTATAGATAGACATACATAAAATCGCCGCCCTGCCAAGACAACACTACGGATCTCATTACCACTGGCTACATCCTCGTAACACTCGTACAAGATTTCCATGCAAGGATAGTATGAGGCATTGTAAGCAGCCTCAAATTCTTTTTTGCCTTGTTCAGACAAGGAGTTGTATACAGCCAATATTCCCTGTTAAAAGAAACAATTTAACAACATTCATGGCGAAATCCAAGGATGCAAGGTTAAAGCACAACCTTAGTTGAGATGGTTTTTGATATGATTCCGGTGATACACTCAACAGTGTTCTTGTAAGCCAGATCTTCACTCATTCCGTTTTCCGTGTACCTTCTAAATAGGGACTCCACAATACCGTGGACAGCTCCAAGTAAAATACCTATCAACAATGCATAGCAGTGTCAGGCATCATATGTAGTGGCCGGGAGGGGGGAGAATGAAATAAGGAGCAAATCGATCTACCACGCTCGCCAAAAATGTCACTCTTGTATTCCTGCTCTAGTGTAGTGGCAAACGTGAAAGGAGAACCAAGGGCAACCGACCAGCCCAACGCAACATCAGTAGCTCTCCCATCAACATCCTGTATAGAAATTCATCAGAAACTCAAGATCAGTTGAATAAAAGAAGGCAACCCAAAAATTGGGGCCGAAATAGAGAGACAGAAAGAGAGAACCTGGTGGACGGCAAAACTAGAATTAATTCCAGCACCATTTATCTCTTTTCCTTGGACATAAAGCCTCCTCACTGACGGACCCATACCCTTTGGACATACAGCAATTACACTGATGTTCTCAGGGAAATCTAGTCCTTCCGACTTCAAATGGCCTAAAAGAAAACCATGGGAAAGCCCAAGGATGCTATTTGGTTTCATGTGGGAAAATACTTTCTCACAGTTATCAGCCTGCATCATACAACCATCAGGTAATTACACCCCTTTCATCAAAAAAATTTGCGAGCAAAATCACCATCCAATATCAATAAATTAACGATCATCAGAAGGATCACGTCAAAAGTACATGCAAATAATCACTACATTCACCGTGATATAGTTTCAGACGACATTTTCCAAAAACAAAAAAAGGTGTGAAATTAACAGACCTGTGCAGAATCAGAAATGAGCAACATAACAAGATCACTTCCTGAGATTGTTTCATATATGTCACCAAGAGTCCCATTCTCTTCGGTGAAACCAGCTGCACGAGCTTCAGCGAAAGAGTGGGATCCCTTCCTCAACCCAATCTGTGAAATAAAAGGCAAAACATAAGCAAAACGGCATATTTTTATGCCCCAAAAAAAAATCAAATGCTGATTTAGTGTGGAGGATATAGGTTCTTTAAGAAGAAAGAATCGTTGGTTCCTTATAGTCATTTCCTCAAACCAAAAGGAATATTGAAACACAATAGAATAACACCTTGACGACAATGTCAGACTTTGCTTCAGCAAGAGAGTCCTGCAGATTCTGAGCTTGAGCAGGCGCCTGAACAAATAGTACAAATTTCACATAAAAAAACTGACTCCCTTAAAATGAGAATATTAGGCCTATTTAGAAGGTATACTCAAACCATGATTCTTGATTCTCACGTTTGAAATTTTTTCAAAATTTTTACGAGAGGAAAACATTATAGCAGAATCAGAGTTTGAGTATATGAAACAAATGGCCAGTGTTTACTTCATGATAACAGCCATTATGCATTGAAAAATGTAGCAAAATTATACACACACACAAAAAAAAAAAAAGTCAAGCTTAACAGGATCAAATATAAAGTGAAATGTAGACCAGAGAACATCAATCATGTAAATACAGGTCAACTAAGTTAATATACATAAAGAAAAATACTTTTGAGAGAGAATTCACCTGAGAACCCCAACCAATAACTCCAATCTGCTTAATACCCTTGAATGCATTGGGCAACAAAGGGAACAAATTTCTCCCTCCTTTCACAATATACTGCAATATAAAGACAACCCTTCAGAATAATACATTTTACAATGGAATTTCATACGCAATTACAGTCTTTACACTAGTAACAGTTAAATAAATAGAGCCTGATCAGTCTGATCAATTCACTCCACCATAAAAACAGCACCAAAATGAAACTTATAATATCTAGTTTGACCAAACGAAATGCATGCATTTCTCAAAATTGAAAGAATTTAAAAAAAAAAAAAATCTTTCTGGGTTATAGCAGAGAGAGAGACCTCTTCGTGGCCAGCGAGGTTGACCTTCTCCTTCTTGAAAACAGAAGTCTCGAAATTGAGGGAAGTCAGGGATTTGGTCTTCACTGTCTCCACGTCCATTGTTTTCTTCAAGATTAAAAAGAACAATCAAAATCACAGAATAGCCAGTAACAATATCCAAATTTTTTTTCCCCCAGAAGAATCAAAAAAGAAAAACAAATTCAGATGTTTCATAAGAAGTATTTGGGCGTGAACTTTGAGTTTTTTATCCTTACTGTTTACTTTTACTAGTTACGCGCTCCGCGCATGTAGAGTGGCAATGTGGCGTTTTTGGAGTAAGGTAGGGACGTTTGTTATTATGATTTATGATTTTTTATAATATTTTTTTTATAAAAAAATATACGTAAAATGAGAATGGTTCAAAATCATAATTTTAAATTTATGAACTAAACGTTTACATAATCTTTTCACTAATTAGTCCCGCGAATAAAATTACTCATCATCTTTATCTTATTAATCCACATAAATTAGAGGAGTATTAGACGGATTTCTCATCATAAATTTAAGATACTTGTAGTGCTCTATTTATCTGATTAGTTATTTTTATTATAAAAAATAAATAATTTATTAATTTTAAGTTAAAAATAAAAAAAATGTTATTTTAAATTTTCATATATTATATAATATATTATACTTAGTAATGTATATTATAACATATTATACATAATATATTTACTTAAAAACATGATATAATTAAACGGGGCGGGACTATATAGAATAAGGTCGAGGATCTTTAAATCCGCTTCGCCTCACGACCTGCGACTGGTTCTCTAAATCCGTTTCAACGGGGTTTTCTCCTACTTATTTAAAGTGGATCCCTACAAATAAATGAGTTTTTAGATAAAATTGTCATTGTCACATCTTATATAAGAGTTGAATAAGATTACATATATTTGAGTTAAGAGAAAAATTATAGATTAAAATAAGATTTGGTATAGAAAAATTATAGAGAATTATATATAACTATTTTAGTATTATTGAGTTTATTTCATTTTTTTTATCAATTTTTCAATATGACTCTTATAAATAATTATCTCACTCCAAAGTTTATTTCCTTTCTAAGTCCTTTCACAACTAATGTTTTGCATTCTTTATATATATTATGTTACATTTATATGTATTGTCTATCTAACATAAATAAAAGAAATAAAAGTAAAAATAAATAAATAAACAAACCAAGAAACAGAACGAAACGGCCCCCAAGTGAGAGAAGGAGAAAGCATTATCCGATTACAGCTTTTATAATAAGTAGATATATTTGCTTCCTCAATTTTCATTTTCTGATAATTTTATTCTTTAACGCTAAAATTGATGAATGATTTCCCATATTTAACAAAAATAATATGTTCTTCATCACATAATAACTTAAAATCTTATAAAAAGAGTTGGGTTACATCTAAAGTTTTGTATTTGTTATTATTAAAACCTTTTGAAAACAAAAATATTATTTTGTACTTATTATAACTATTTATGTAAAATTTTTAGATATGATCGATAATGATGTTACTTTTAATGTTAGCGACTAAAATTGTTAAAAATTAAAAATTTAAGAACTAATATATTAAAATTAAAGTTCACAGACTGAAATATCACAATACTTAAAATTCAGAAACTAACAGTATTAAGGATCCTTATATATAAGAATTGTGCATTAAATCTATTAAATGTGAGACTAAGGGTAAAGTTGAAATAGGAGTTGAGGAACGAAAACAATAGCAAATAATATTAATAATAACAATAAAAATAATAATGATAATAATGAAATTAACCTAAAATCTTTCATATATAAAGGTTCCATTCGACGTTGTTGATTTATTGAAATTTTTAGTCACTTGTAGAAATATATATATATATATCAAAGTCTTGAAGTTTTTTATTTTTAAAGGGAAAACGCTTATCAACTTTTGATCACAATAATTTTGACTAACGATATGACTGAGTAAATATTTCAACATATCAATGTCAATTTGGCACTACACATTTTAACCTAGGATAAATTTCATGAATTTTTTCTGAAATCGAAATGCCCCGAATTTTAAAATTATCTCTTGCGCTCTTGATTTATAGACAAGGGTAGAGTCAGGTTTTTTTTTATACCAAAGGAGTAATGAAACTAAAATTATAACGCAGTTAAATTTTCTTAACTTTGTCTTTCTTTTTACCTTCACTTTATTTATTTTATCCCTTTTCAATAATTATAAATGAATTAAGCTTGTAATTACATTGAATTCACTTTTTAAATAGTATTTTTTCTATTTTTAAAAACACCCTAACTTTTTCGTTTTAATTTTGATTGAGATGATTTTTTTTATGCGTTCACAACGAAAAGATGAATAAAACCACATCCATATACTCTATTAAAATTTTTTATCACCATTGAGTTTTTATTATAATACTATCTAAATACAAATTCAAGTTTTGACTCACCTAAACACAAATTCAAATAGATTCTCAATTCAAACCATAACTCAAATGTGCACATCCAAACACAAACTCAAGTTACAATTTCAACTCAAGATCTACACTCAAGTTACCATAACTCAAAAATATAACCGAACAAACTCATAGTAGTCCGCCCACTTTTGTTATTCTACAATCAGATTGCCCGACTTTGCGGAGGCAATGACATGTGCAACTAAACTCAACTAAGCAGAGGAGTCGACTAGCAAGCAAAAAACAAGATCAATTACTGTACTCTATTTCTATTCTTCTACCACACTAGTAGATTATAACAATTATCAGTTTGCTGCTTCTATGGATCTCCCTGCGAGACGAGACTTAAGGCCTCAGAATTCAGGATCATATTCGAAGAACGCCATCATGCAAAACTTGGGGGCGAATGGGCGAAAGGGGTTTCATGCCAGTGATTTTTGCAGCACATTGATTTACAAAATCAAGAATAATCACCACTCAGTTCTTCCTCACAATTACGTATACAAACATCCAGGTTAAGCTGGCCAGTTGAATCGAGAAAGCGATATGGAGCAAAGAAAAAATCCATCTGCGGAAAACCTTCAACCCTCCCCGGGAAACACTCTGCAAGTGAATTTAATCTGAGAGAGCTGCTTCCTCGTTTCAACACGAGATCATACATGAACCTTCTCTTTGAAGAACTTGGTGCGATGCAGGTTAGCATTACGGTGTGCCCGATGCTTTCAATACCCTTGTTGAGGAGAAAAAGAGTGCCATCATCTTCTGCTTGGAGAACAAGAACTTGTTCGTTCATCTTCAGGGAAACAGCGAACTCGCTCTTGTACCTGAAACGCCTTCCCGAGTCCCAATGCTTGGTACTGAAGTGCAGGGACAACTGGTAGAAAGAACTGACAAAATTGCACCCTGGAAGTGGGCAAGCACATGGTGCATACATGCATGTCCCTTCATGGTCATTATTCCTCACACAATCCACTCTTTCATTGCATCCGTACTCTTTGTTTTGGCATGGTGTTCTGACCGATTCAACGATCAGTTCAATATCCCCGCAAACTACATCCTTACTCTTGAGAAAAATAGGCATATTATTTTCCTGTAAGCACATGAATAAAATCCATAATCAGTACATTATGGAATGCTATACCTTGGGTATAACATCGATGGATTCATCATTCATCCCATAAGTCCTAAAATACTTGAGTTTCACAAGTATACTAGCAGGACGATAAACCTTACACTTTATTTTATTTTATTGGGAGAAGTATGGAGACTAAACAATAGAATTTGAAACGAGAGAACCAATGCCGTCAGAGAAACGGAGATCTGGTCTTTAAAATCAAAGAAATTAAACAATATAATTAATCAAAATTGTAAACTAAATCTATTGAGACCAGTAGTTTCTTTCTTCACCTGATATCTAACCAGGCAGGAGGAATAGAGTAAAGAGAAACGTCAAGGGACAAAATGAAGAGAAGAGATAGACCCATGAGAAACATTTTCCGAAAAAGTCATCATCCCAAATAACAAAATCAAAAACCACAAAACGCAGCTTATTCTCCCACCTACACCTAAAATTAGGTCTCTATTCCCGTATATAATCGCAATCACCATCTTTAGGAGAGACCCGGGGCTCCTCCAGCCAACAAACTAACTTTATGAGCAGCAAACCAAACGAAACCTTACCATTGCGGTGTGTTTTCTATAAAGTTGGAACGTCACCAACAAAAACTTACAATTAATGGAAGAGTTCGTGAAAATAACACTATCTTTAACTTTTACGACCTTTTTGGGGGAACAAAAGGAAAACAAATAACTGCAGGTCAACGGAACACAACAAACCTAACATTTGCTAAAGAAACAACATCACTAAAAACTTTTTTTTGGGGGGGGGGGGGGGGGGGG